AAGGTGGAATGAGGACAGATTGTTGACTGGAGGCTAACTTTGAAATCAACATGTCTTTAGCACCATGACTTTGCACTTAATATCAAAAATATATGTTGTTTCCTATCTGTATATTGTGTTAGCACTGCAATGCCTGTGATTTTTATCCAGCTTACTCACTGTAAAGTCAGACACACATTTCTGAGGGTTGTGGTCCTAAGCAACTCCAGCAGCAATTGGATGGGCTGCCTGGAGCACACAACAGCTTGCTCCTTGAATATGTGGGTATAAATGTAGCTCCATAATAAAACTGTCACTATATGAATCTCTTAGTTGTTTTCTACTTTTGGAGGTACCGTATAACGTCTTGGGATCATGTCATCTTATATTCCACTTACCAGACTTTGCCTTTAATAAGATTGTGCAGAATGCTTAGACTTCACTTTTAGTTACTAATACGTTTCCATGTTTTTCTGCAGAAAACAATTGGTATCAACCCTGTTTCTTAAATTCTAAAATTGCAAATCTTTTACACTAATGACAGAATTGTTGCTAACAAAAATACAAAAGTTTAGAGGGATATTTCTTTCCTTTTATTTTACATGACACCCTGGCTTGCCAGATGTCCTGAAAAAATAGGAAGACTTATTCACTTGTGTTTTACAACTCCTTGGGAGAAGTATGGTCTAAATCTCCTTCTGTGTAGTGTTATACTGTTCCTTTGAATGCTTTCAAATAGTCGGGGGGGATGGCCGAGACACCTGAATTTTGTTCGTGGTCCAGCCCTGATGCTGTTTAAAGTCGTTTGACTTGCCCTGAGCTGATCTCTTGCCTACTGTAACTTTATCTATAACTTTACTCTGTAGAGTAGCACTAATTTAAGGTTAAAAAAACCCCAATAATTTGAGGTATTGTGGAGTATTGCTAGGAGCACAGAGCCTATACAATAGAGCTCTACTAAAACATTTTAACGGATCCTTAAAATGTGAAGCTGTCTGATGAATAGTTTAGCTTCAAGATACTTGGATTGTCTTTAAAGCCAACTTCTGTTTCTGTTTGTTTGGGAGAGTGGGAGAGGAGAAGCAGAAATGAGACAAGCTTTTAAAGATTTCAGTGGTAAGCCTCCAGAGCACAGGCTGGTTTAGAAGCAGACTGTAGCCTGAAACTAGGCCGCAGTGATATTTGTAGCTTCCTTTTTTCCAGTTTTCCTTGCTTCACCTTCAGACCGATTGTAAGGATGTGATTTATCGTAACCTGTCTTCAGCTGCTTAAAACTGATATGCCTAGGGGAAGACCGTCACTTGGTCTCCCTCTATAGTCACCAGAGTGAGATAGGTTTGATTTTGACACCAGTGTTTGGATAAGATGAATTGCCTTTTGGAGAGATGTAGATGACTCTATTGGCTCTTGAGGAAAACTAGAGGATAACGATCTATAGCTAAGTTGCTTGATTTTTAGGTGGCTGAAGTGCAGTGAATCTCACCCAGAGCATCTTATTTGCTAACATTTGATTCTTCTCATCTGAAGAATAGAGTACTCGGCAATGAGGAGAGACTCTAAATCCTCTACTTTCCCCAGAATCCTGTCCTCTGTCCAATATGCTACAGCTTTATTTTACCTAGAAGTACTTTTCTCCAGTTTAATCAACCTGTGGATTGCAGTTGTCACTTCAGTTACCTTGAAAAAAGCCTAAATAATTATTGCAAATAGAAGGAGGGTAGTAGCCCCTTCCTGTTTTGTGTGACCAAAACAGATTTGTTAAGGTGTTTTTTTTTCTCCCCACTTTTTTTGTATATTTGCAGGTTTTTTCCCCCAAACATCATAGTCTTACTCTAGAATTTCATTAGTGTGATTGTGAACTCAAGTGAAGTTCCCTTGGGATTATGCTGTGTTGCCATGTGAGTTCTGTGGTTTCATTTGTACTTTAAGTATTTATGTTTTAAAAGGGAAAAGGTGAATGCTATGTATTATGCTGTTTCATTTAACCAGTGCATGGAGCAACTTTCCCTCCTTACCTCACCAAACACAAATCATTTGGTTTGAGAACATGCTACAATGCTTGTTTTAAATTTAGTTAGAAGCAATTTGTAGCTGTATTAATACATATCATTCTAATGGTCTTTCATCCTGGGAAGGTCTGGCACAGGCATAAAAATTGAATTTTCTCGTGAAAGCATGTAGGGCTGCTGGGGCTGTGTTGAGGTTTTTATCAGCAATAAACTGTGAACAGAAGCAAAAAAAAAAAAGTGGGGGGAATGTGGGGGAAGGAAAAAGAATTGAAATTAAATGGTGCCCTTTGCCCAGAGGCTAGCCATTAGTTCCCCTTAATGAAAGCCTTTCCTTAACTCTGCAGATATTCCTTCTATGTCATTTTTTTAATAGGTGCTTCGTTATCTTCAATCTTCATTGACTTCAACTTCTCTGCCAGTGATTCACATAGCTGCTTGTTCCCTCCTGGCCAGTGTCACCAGAGCCATTTTCCCCAGCCCTCCTGCAAAAGTTTTGTTAATGTTATTACAAAGAAATGGACTTTGTGTTTTCTGCAAATTCTGTTTTCTCTGACACAAATCTAGCATCTAGCTTTTTTTATGTACAAACCTTTCTCTAAATCTTCTACAGACAGATATGGTATAGAATACCTTTTATTTTCACAACAGTAATTCTCTGCCTTTTAGCTTTCCTGACTTCTGACTTGATGGTGATGAGAATCATTTTTGTGGCCTGTCATTCTCTATCTGTCAGCTGCCCTTTCATCCCTTCAGATTTCTGCCTGGCTCTCCATATATGTACGAGGCATTTTTATATAAGACTATTCATAACTCCTAGTTACTCCCTATTTTTCTTTTGCCAGTTTTCACTCTTGGCCCATTTCAGTAACCTTGGAGCTCACTGGAGTCATGTAGAAAGATCTATTTGGTGGCGTTTCTACATGCTTGGAGCAGTAAAGGCTGGAAAAGACTCAGTGATCCTTATTTTAGGGAAGATGTTCTTGTCTGGGGGTTTCCTAGCTTGTAAATTTTTCTGTGATGTTTTTTCAAAAGATGTTTGACTAGATATATTTATCAGTTTGAGAGGTTAATATCCTACTGCACTGTTTCTTTGAATATTTATTATGCCATTAATGTTCCATTGAGCAGTTTGTAATTCAAGGTGACCAAAAACTTTCTGGTTTCCTCTCTCTTGTCCTGATGGGACAGGATGAAAAAAAAAAAAAAAAAATCTTTTAGTCAGATGTAGTGAGTCTCCATACAAACATGCAAGTTGTTGTACTAATCGCTAGTGGTCTAGTAACAAAAGCTTACCATAGACATCTTATTAATGTAAGGGCATGTTATATTCCCTTTTCATTAAACTTGGAAGTTTTCCCACTCTAAGTAGGCTTATTCTGCAGTTTCCACATATTAACTGTGCAAAAGAATGCCTTTTCTTAGGTGCAGCTGGTTTTCTTTCTTTGAATTTTTTCCCTGAATAATTGTTCTGTTTTGTGTCTTTAGTCTTGGTTTGTGATGTCTTTTTCCTGCTTGTTAAAATTTACATAAATATTCTACCTGGAACCTTACCACCCCCACCCCCCCCAAAACCCCAATTAACCTCTTAGAAGTTCTGATCTGTTGATATTTAAATGGGATATGTTGCACATCTACTTTTGGGTACTTTTCTGCAGCACAGGTATGTGCATTTGTGATATAGGTTGGGCTGTCAATATTGTGCATGCATAGTCATGAGAAAATCTGGTGCCTTCTAAGATAAGAATAACAGAACTGCTGTATTAGGTGAGAAGTATCTAGCCTACTGTGACGTTCTAGTGGCGTTTTGTTGTGTTCCATTGCCTTAAAGATTGTCAAGAAAATTAAAGGTCATTGTTTAATTACATCTGACTTTAGTAATGTTTACACTTAATTACAGAAGAGGAGAACTTGAATATAGTAACATGTAAAGAAAACAGACGACAATGAAATGTTACTGGATTTACAGGAGAGAAAGATGGTCCTGCTAGCTTTGCAATAACCTGTTTCTGAATTTTGAAAAGTAAAATTATTTTAGAATTATGATTGGGATTGGATTTTTTTAATTTTGGCACTTTTCTTCTCATTATTTGGACTCCAGAATGGTACTTCATGCTGTTAATACCTGCTGCTTTTCAAAAATAACAGTTGCATCAGAAACATGATTATATTGTAGGGTGGCTTTCTGTTTATTGCAGAAATTCACAGGCACAGTCTGTGACAGCCAAATAAAGAAAAGAAAATAGGGAAGAAATATCTCTTGTAGTTCAGAATAAGAGGGTTTTTTTGTGGATTTTTATTATGCCAGTCATTTATAGAACAAAATTTACATATTGTGCTTCAAGAAAAGAGTACTATGCTATAATAATAATACATGGATCATGATTTGGGATATAAAAGAGTAGATGTTACAAAAATAAATAATAATGAGGGAAAATAAGGATGATAAAAGCAGTGAAATTATGTCAAAGCAAGCAGAAGTAGGATGATTACAAGTAAGGCACGTTGTTGGAGTCTTGTATTTAAAGGAAAAAGGTGAGATGTGAACTTGAAAGCAAGAATGAAATGTAATTTGGCTGCTCTGTGACTCTGTGTTCCCCAGTTCTATAGATCATGCTGTGAATGATTAAAGTCACTGGGCTTGGTTTGTGATAGTTTTGCTTACTAGGGGGAACTTTAAAGACAGCGATTCCACATAATTTCAGGGAAGGTCCTTAAAATACAGAGAGATTTCTGTGGGCCTTGTATAAATACTGAACCATGTATTTACTAAGTGATTTTCAAATGTCTGTGTAATTTTAATTTCTCTTATGTTGTTAACAATATGGAACAAGATAGAGAATAATTCATTTGGGTTTGTTTACACTTTCAAGAGAACCAGAACTTTTTTCCCCAATTTAGCAGAATTTCTTAGAACCTAATTAGAAGATGACTTGACAAAGCTGCTCCCCAAAACTAACTAAAGCTGTTGTGTTTCTGTGGTCTTTATTCTATATCTTGTATCCTCTCTTTTAGGTGGCCAGTGCTTCTCTTGGGGATGGAACGAACACGGGATGTGTGGTGATGGCACAGAAGCAAATGTCCATGTCCCAAAGCCAATCAAAGCTCTTGGTTACGCAAAACAGATCTTAATTGGATGTGGGGCAGGACACTCCATGGCTCTTTGTCAAACTCCATGTTAGACTCCTGAAATCATAGCATCACGGATGTGGATGGACATCTTTGGATTGCGTAGCTCAGAAGTGCTACAAGAGGATTGCCCATGATTAACACAATAGTTGGAAAGTGCAGAAGTTTTTTCTAAGACTAAAAGGAAGAAGTATGCATAGAAAACTATAATATTTTAAAAGTTGTTTCATGGGTCCTTTTCACAGGAATTTACTTCCTTACCCACAGATAGAGTGACAAACATTTTGCTTTGATGCAGTACCATTGAAGAAAGAATGACTTTTTCTTGTTCTTCTGAGAAGTCTTTGAGGAATAAACAGGCTGCTTAATTGCTTATCATTGGTGTATGATATAAGGAAATGGTCTGAGAACGTAGAGACATAGGGCCCCTTCTGGTCTTTTATTATTGTATCTTTATGTCATGATGAGCATGCATTGCACCTGCCAACTTCTACTGGAGTTGTGAGCTCCCAGCATCTCAGAAAATCGAGTTTGCATCATAGAGAAATGCCAGTGAACATAAATAGATGCATACACACATTTTAAACAGAAGATTAGGATTAAAAAAAAAAAAGGAGATATAATTTAGAAGACTGGCAAAAGGGGAAAATGAGGCCCTTCTGAACTAGCTATACCTTGATTATCTGTGAAAAGAGCAATATTTCTGAGGAATTATCTTCTGTGCCAGACGTCAGTTTATTATAGGTTTACAGGGATGCAGATCTGCATGAATTATCATTAACTTGCAAACCAAACCTGAAGTTTCTGAAGCTACTGCTTAGGGAAGAAAAACTTCTAAGAGCTCTTGGAAACAATAGAAAAGTTCTTGTCGAAGGGCATAAGTCAGTTGTAGCTGTTGAGGACCATTTGATCTGACATAGCTCCTGTGTTTCCAGCTGCCTTTGAATAGGAAGACATCAAAATCTAAACGGAAAGTTTTTACAAGTTCTCCAGCCTAAAAGGCAAACCAGAATGCTCCTGATAATTTCAGGTTAGTTCTCGCATCTGTTTCGCAGCCCAGCTGAGTTATTGTTCAGAGCATGCCCACAGTCCTTGTTCCAGGTGAGTGCTTGGCAGACAACATAGGCCTAACACTTGTTTTGGTAGGAGAAATGAAAAAGTGTAAATTATCTTCGGATATTACTAGCTGCCTATGTTGAGCAGAATTTTGGAAGCTATTTATAAAACCGTTCTTCACACAAATACAGTGGATGCCTTTAAACTGGATGTTTACCACCCACGATAGTTACATTTGCTGTGGTATTTGATGTATTTCAAGTTCTAAATATAGAGCATACTACTGTGTGGTAAATGCACCTTTTAATGAGACCTACTGTTGCTAAACAGTGGTTTAATTTTTAAAGCAGGCTTGCCAGGGAAGAGGCCTTACAGAATTACAAAATACTCAAGAGAAGGGCTCTTAGAAAACAGGACAGGAAGACTTTCTAATGATGTATCAGCTTACACATGAGGGGGAAGGAATTAAGGTGGTAATACGGGCTGCGAGGGTTTTCTTCCCCCCTTGGTTTTACAGCAGTTATAGTTCATGGCCTGATTTTCAAAGGCATTTTCTTTTTCTATTCAATGGATGAGAAACTTGAACTGACTATGAAGCTGATTCTAACTATTCTGTAAGAATAATCAAATGGGTCCTCTGCAAAAAGCGCAGAATTGAGACTTCTACTGTAAAGTGTTTTTCTTAATCCATGGTTGTGGTTCTTCATGGCAATATACTGTTCCGGGCTGTGACCTCTTGTACTTTTTACTTATCTAAGTTGCTATTTATTGACTCAGTGCCATTTGCTAGCCTCTCTATTATATGCACTGAACAGTTTCTCATACTTTTTTTGGCAGTTCTGTCTGAGGTTTCTACCTTTGTTGTCCCCCAAAATCTGTGTACCGAATAAACATATTATATTGTTTCAGTAATCATACCCTCTAAATAATTCTGTTCCTTGATTAACCACAGCTAGTATGTGTGCCCTATAACATAGGGGTCACTGTACTGAGCATATTTTGACTGTGTATGCTGTTGCTGCAGTTCATTTCAGAGGAATGCAACAAATTATGTAACAAATAAATGCGACTTGGTTATTTGAAATGTTGTTCACTTTTTCACCTCTGTAACACAAACACACTTTTGGAAACGCAAAGGGTGATTTGGGGTGATAAGGAGGAAAGAAAGGAGTACTTTGGTTTGTTCCTGGTCCTGATCTTGCGTTTCATATCTGCATCTGATCTTCATCTTTGAAAGGGCAAGAACTGCATTTTCTCTCCTTTGTTTTGCCTGTATAGATTGAAAACTTTGGGAGGTAATGACTTGTCTTGAGAGCTTGACGTACTAAATGCTTTGTCGTCGGTCAGGATTTCTAAATGCTGCTGTAGTATGAAGAGTGAATAATAATTCATTGTAGATGGTACATGGTTGAATGTCAAAAACAAGTTGTTGCTCGTCCATTCAGAAATGAATGCCCTGTTTTGTATGTCAGTATGCTTTGTTTGCAGAATAAAACATTGTACAAAATCAGCTAAGGCTTTCTACTGTAAGGAAGGGCACACGCAGTGAAAAGCTCCTAATCAAGTGAAGAAGCCTCCTTCCTTGCTGGTGTCCAGAGCTTAGTGACTGTTGTCTGTTGATGTCCTGACGGAGAAGGTCAGTCTCTGCAAGGCAAAATGCAGAGCCAGTGTGCTTTGCCAATGCTTCTGCAGTGCATGCAAAGACAGACTTCTTTATGCAGGTCTTCAGTGCTAAGCAAAGAAAGCCTTTTATGTAAGTATTCTGCGTTCACATTCAGATGCAAATAAACTGACAAGGTTTATAATATATATATAAAACACTGGAACAAGGTAAGTAAGTGTCTGTGCAGCTGCTCTCCCCTCCCATTTTCTGAAAATAAGCAAACCTGCTAATGAGCTGACATTCATGAGGCAAAAACGTGAACTTAATATCACAGCTTTGCTGGAGAACAGGTTGTGAACTGTTGACCTTCAGCCCAGAGAGCTTTCAGACTCTTGGTCGGAGGGGGAGGAGGCTGTTTTGTGTACTTCTGTTGTTTGAAGGCCTAGGAGGTCTGCAGTTGTTACTCATGCAACCTCTATGTGGACCTGTGCAAGACACTCCTGTTCCATTTTGAAGAATGTTGGTAGGAAGTGTGTCTTCTGTCAGAAGTTTCTGTCTCTTGGAGGATTTGTTTAGGCCGCTTGGCAGTCACTGTGACTTGATGCTTTTCTGCTTAGAATGCTGGACCCTGTATTTGAAGTGTGTTCTTTTGAAAGAAAAATTCAGTCCTGCCTTTCTTCCTGTTTGTCCAGTCACTACTTCTTACATGACACTGCCTTCCCTCCCCTATCTGCGTGTTGTCAGTCCTGTTGGTGACTAACTAGTTCTTGCCATCTGCAACCACCATAAAGGTCACTTCTGCATGAGTGACAGGAGGTTTTGCTTGGCTACATGGCTGAGCGCAGAGAAATTGGGGCGGGGGGGAGAGAAGAATGTGATTTGATTTTGCTTTATATGACACTTTTTGAGTCCTAAGACTTAAAGGTGAGGATGGAAAACAGATGAAGGAGATCAGTTTGAATATATGGGAGAAGGGTGACCATGGAAAAATATTTAAATGAATGGCAGTAGAGAGCCTGACATAGTCAGCTAAAACATAGGGGAAAAGGAGGGTGGAGGGGGAAGATGGATTCAAGATACAGGTCCTGAAGACTGAATAATCACACAAGGATAGTAGTATTCCAGCCTGCCGGTATGGTGGGAGGGAGATGAGGGACAAGCTATTCTAGTTCTTGGATGTTATTGTTCCCCCTCTCCCACTGTTTATTAGTAATAATATGAATTATTGACGAGCAATGGGTTTCCTTTCTCATTCATAGCACATCTTGAAATTTCCAGTTCTCTTCAGTTGGAACAGCAACATCTGTCCTCACCTTCCAGTCTCAGAAATATTTAGATCAGGCCTGTGACGTAGTCCAGCACTTAATCCAAATACTTACTATTTTTTCCATTAAATTCCATGAGCTCTGGATCAGATTTAAACAAGACTTAAGTAATTTTGGGACTTCCACTTCCTTTTCCTCTGTATTAGAAATCAAGATGATGACAGATCTTTGTCACTGAAATTGTGATGTTATGTTTTCACCAAAAAGTCCCCTGTCTTCTCTTAGCAATTTTTATACTTTTACGACATATGGCAAGTCTTGTGCTTTTTCTTTTAGCTAGCTATTTTCTTTAAAAAGGCTCCAGAATTTTTCATCCGTATTTGAGTCATGCTCGTGGTATTTACTACCAGCTTATAGTTCAGAGCAGCTGAAAATTCTGTAAAGGGAAGAAGAAAATACTGAAGCGGAAACGTAAGTCTTGCTTCCCAAAGGCGGGGAATGGATGCAGTCTGTGGTAGAGAATAATCTTGTGTGGTTTTGATTGCACTTAAAAGTGTGCACAGTAGAAAAGTGGAGCTTACACTGAATTTGCTGAAAACTCTAGCTGGCACAAAAATAATCGGACATTTGAACTTTTGACATATCAATATCTTGATTTATGTGCAGAAAAAGAGGTAGTACATTCTTTGTTCTTTTCTTTTAGCATTTGTGCTATTCTTAGTTCCTGATAAATGCTGGTCTTAGATGTTTTGCTCCATGTTAGAAAGAATGGTTTAATAGCCTTGAATTAAAATGCTTCAGTTGTATGGAAATGGCCTTCTGTTGGATGAACGTCCCAAAAAACAACTGTAAAGGGAGGTGTTTACTGTACGTGCCTTTGAAGTTCATTTGGAGAAACTGCATATGTAAAGCTGTTGTTATTTTGTAACCTGTTTAGAGGTTGAAGGGACTGAAGTAAGGCACATTCTTTAGCTGTTTGTGCATTTCATTCAGATTCATAGAATCATAGAATCGTTGAGGTTGGAAAAGACCTTTAAGATCATTGAGTCCGACCGTTAACCTAACACTGCCAAGTCCACCACTAAACCATGTCCCTAACTGCCACATCTACACACCTTTTAAATACCTCCGTCAGTTGTCTCTGCATTCACCTGTTTTTAATGCAGAGGCAGATTTATTCATCAGTGGCTCTGTAGAACATGGAAAGAGAGTATGTGACTGAAAATACTCAGCAATGAAAATGGTCTCTGTATTTGAATCGTGACCTGAATGAACCATGTGTTACCTTGTGGGAGAGTGAGGAAGCATAAATTCAGAGTACTGGGAGAACACATTTTTCAGCTTGATTAGAAACAAGAGCAACAAAGTAATTATTCTGGAATAAAAGCTGGCTGTGGGGATGAGAAAATTGAGATGATGTTTATTTTGCAATACTTCCTCAGGCATTCTTATTTTGTGACATGTCGGATTTCAATTCACTTTCAGACGAGCCTTTGCAGGTTGGGAGGGGGTTGAGTCTAAGTCCAATTCCTGTGTTGGCTAGCCTCTCAATTCATTTGCATCTTTCTCATCTGTTTCCAGGTTGCCATGCCTGTGGTCCACCTTGTTATTCAGATACAATGCAATCTTGGGGGGAGTTCTGTCTGCAGGGTTTGGGATCAAGACTTTGTCAGTGGAAATTGCAGAATTTCAATTCAGTATGATTCCAGTACTCCCTGATCATCATAATATTTTAAGTGTATGTGAACACTTTGCTGTAAGACTCTGCATTTTTACAATTTTTTATATTTAGAAGTGGGGCCAAGAATTGGGATATTTTTCATATTCTGACATGACTTTAGTTTTTTGCTGCAAATATCAAACGAGTTTA